TGGTGTCATTACCTAGAAGAGGACTAAATTTGGGGAGGGGGGGAGATTATGAGTTCAGATTTGGTCATGAGGAGTTTGACGTTCCTATATCACACCCAAGAAGGGTTGTGAGGTAGGTAAATAGGGATCAATAAGAAACTTCAGTTATTATAAGGTTAGTAAGTTGGAATTTGGCAGGAAGAGCATGAATGGATTTTTCTTATAAGAATGTATTAAAAACCTCCTTCAGAGTCTGAGCTACAGGCTATTTTGAAAGAAACTCAATTTTATTAATTAAAACTATCCATGGTAATTAACTAGCTACCACTTATTGAGTTCTTATCATGAAGTCTGACTATATGTCAGGCCTCTACCAAGCATTTTACATACATTATCTCATTTAAATCTCTCAGTGCTGTAAGTTAAGTATTATTATCTGCATTTCACAGACATTAAAACTGAGGCTAGAGAAGTTAAGTAAAATTTCCTAAGTTCATAAAGCTCTAAGTTCCTGAGGCTGGATTTTTACCCTGGTTTGTATGATTCTATTGCTTGTGTTCTATATATTACAGATATTCAAAACAGCATCTCTTGGTATCACTCCTGCAGAGGAGTACTTTAATGAGTTTATGTAAATAATGTGTAATTCTCATAATGTATTCCTTTTACGGATAGCCTTTTTTTTTTTAAATCCTCACTGAGGATATTTTCCCATTGATTTTTAGAGAGAGTGGAAGAGAGAGGGAAAGACAGAGAGAAATATCGACGTGAGAGAAACACATTGATTGCCTGCCTCCTCCACGAGCCCTGACCAGGGCCTGGGCCAGGGAGGAGCCTGCAACCAACGTATGTGCCCTTGACTGGAATTGAACCCAGGACTCTTGGGTCCGCAAGTCGATGCTCTATCCACTGAGCCAAACTGGCTAGGGCTGGATAGCCTTTTTTAACCTTTAAAAATTGTGCAAGAATTTAAAACTCTCAGTAAGTTGTAAAAATAATAGAGTTCTCACATATCCTTTACTCTGTGTTCCCTGATGATATCTTACATAGAACACTGTCAAATCCAGCAAGTTGATATTAGTACAATATTAACTACACTACAGACTAGTCGAGTGATTCCTTTAATCATTTATCTACAATCTTCTTTTTGTTAAAAGCCAGTTTAGTAAGTCTTTCTAATCTTTATTGTTATGGGAGCAGATTTCATGTGGACTCCTTTATGAACTAGTGATCTAAATTTATTTGTTTGCAATTGATTTATTTTATGAAATGCATTGGAATGAAACATTCAGAGGAAAAATTTCATGTCAATTTTGTAAACCCAAACATTTCTTACACTACCAACCAAAGCAAGCTTAGCCAGATATTTGACTAGAAAACTTTCTGTTGTTAAATGTTATTATATAAATTTATCTCTGGTTAGAGTGTAGGCCCTCATACTGAAGGGTTGTGGGTTCAATTCCCATCAGGGGCATATACCTCAGTTGCAGGCTTGATCCCCAGCCCCTGTTGGGGTGCATTCGGGAGACAACCAATTGACGTGTCTCTCTCACGTTGATGTTTCTCTCTCTCTCTCTCTTGCTCTCTCTTTCACACACACACACACACACACACACACACACACACACACATACAGCATCCTCCTTCCCTCTACTCTCTCTAAAAAAAAATTCCTTGGGTGGGGGAAATTTAAAAAAAAAAAGAAGTATAGAATCCCAAGGCTTTGGGAATATAGAAGAGAGAGATAAATAATAAAGAGCCTATAAGACTTAATGGACAAGGTCAGCTTAAGTATATTTATATTTATAATGTAAAGTTTGGAATAATAATTCAATAATTTATTTCTCTCTTTGCCTAGAAAATTACTAGGCACTGTGGTGTTTATGTAGCATTTCATTAAATATTAATATCAAAGTTGAATAGCCACAGAAGACATGAGTACAAAATCAGTTACAAGGCAGTAATATCTATTATTACGTCAAATTTATGTTGGAACAGAAACAGGGATTGGGCATTCAGTGGAGAAGAGATTCCCATGGGATGACTTCTTGAAAGCAAAGGAATTTCAGTCAGTTTTTAAGAATGAATAGACTGGAGGGCAGAGTACAGATGATGATAATTTGTGTGAAAGCTGAGAAACATAACAATTTTTGTGAGAGTAAGCAGATTCCTTTGGCTGGAGCAGAGGACTTATGTAAGAGAGTTAGGGGACAAGGTGTTACTATTTTTTATATTACATTAAAGTTTTCTTTTCAGGTCATATATTTTATGTGTTTTGACAAATGTATAATGACATGTATCTATACTTATAGAATCATACAGAATAGTTTCACAGCCCTAAAAATCCCCTGTCCTTCATAGGGAATACATTTTTAAACTTATTTATTGATTTTTAGAGGGAAAGAGGAAGGGAAGGAGAAAGAAACATCAGTACTTGTACTACATCAATTTGTTGTTTATACATGCATTGGTTGATTCTTACATGTGCCCTAACTGGGGGTGGGACCCACAACCTTGACAATGATGCTTCAATCAATTGAGCTACCCAGGGGTAGAATGAATTTTAATCTAATATTCACAAGGACCTTTCGGAACATTATACTGACCTAGTGTCCAAAAAAATTTCTTCAGCAATATAAACAGTATTAAAAATATTATCTTGTCCTAGCTGGTTTGGTTCAGTGGCTAGAGTGTTGGCCTGTGGACTGAAGAGTCCTGGGTTCAATTCCAGTCAAGGACATGTGTACCTCAGTTGCAAGCTCGATCCCTGGCTCTGGTTGGGGCAGTGTGGGAGGTAACCAATTGATGTGTCTCTCACACATCAATGTTTCTCTCTCTCTCTTTCTCTCTCCATCCTTTCCACTCTCTCTAAAATTCAATGGAAAAATATCCTTGGGTGAGGATTAACAACAAAAAAGTATTATCTTGATATTACTGAAGTTAAGGATTGATTTGAATTATACTGCTAATTTGATTTTGGTGTTACTTTAAACCCATAGCTTTCTTTTCTTTTAAAAAATATATTTTACTACAATATATTACCTGGTAAGTTGGAAAATTTATATTTAAATGAAAATTACTAATAAACCCATTATCCATAAGTGAACTAACATTTCAATGAGCATCTTTCCTGTCTTCTGTTTTTTGTGCATGTGTTATTTTTGTTAAAAATAAATGGTGTATATTGTTTTATATCCTGTTTTATCAGTCAATATGTAATGAGCAGAATCCCTTGTAAGTCATTGTTTTGCTGCACTGTACTTTTTATACTGTATGGGTTATAGATTTTTCATAATTTCAGGGAGTATCATGATATCATTACAGAATGTGATAGTATTGCTTTTTCTTTAGCAGGTGAAGAACTAAGAGTCAGACAGGTCGGCTGATGTTATTTAATGAAAGTATTTTCACCTGATCTGGAGTCTTCCTTTTGTCTTAATTTAACCTCTAACTCAATTCATTGATCTATTCTTGAGTTTTGTTACTTAATTTCTCTGGATATTGGTTTCCTTGCCTTTAAAAGTTAGTAGTTATCCTAACTACTAACTGTAACTGTGAGTTTTCTAGGATGTCATAGCAAAGTAGGAACAAAGGTAACACTAAACTCTTTCATTAAAATTACGTCAATTGACAAGCCTTCTTTTCTCTCTCCGACTCTCTTTTTCTTTTCCCCTAACTTCAAGGACACAGATTTGAATTAATTACCAACTTTGGCCTACAGATGACCTTTTTAAACTTCTTTCTGTTTTTGGTGTTGATACTATATGCTAGACATCTGTGAATTTCCCACTTACACAGTAGCTTTTTTAAGGATGTTTACTAGTCAAAATCTAAATTTTAGTGCAATGTCATGTTTTATTTACCATTATGTTTCTAGCACCTACTGTAGTGTCTGGTGCAAACCAGTTGCTCAATCAATATATGTTGCATGATAGAATGGCTGTCACATAGACCTGTTACCTGGATGAATGTTTTACTGGTAGAGGAGAATCCATTGTCAAAACTTGCTAAAATGTAGACATTGACAAAAGAGGCAGGTAATTAAAATAAACATATGCCATTGAAGTTAGTAATGATTGTGAATTGAGAATAAAACAGAAATATATTCACTAGAAGAACCTACGCGGCAGTGAAATACTGAACAGAAATTTTATTAAATGTGAAGTAAAACAAACAAACAAAAATGAACAAAACCTTTATAGTTTCATATGTGTGCAAACAATATTTAGAACATAGCACAGTGGAGGCATGTATACTTCTATCCCTACAGTAACATTGGGATGTTGGGGGGAAGATTTAAATATTGCCACTTTTCAAATGAAGATGGGACACTCAGAAAAGTTTAAGTGACTTCTCAAAATCACACAGCTAGTAAGTGGCACCTCTAGGATTCATACTGTATCTGTCTGACCATACAAGTATGAGCCTTAATGAATGATAATAAACTGTCTCAAAATTGTATTGCCAGTCTTCAGAAAATTTAAGAAATAATTCCTTCTGAAATACCTTTATTATTTAACTCTTGCCAATTGAGGAGGAAGATTTTAATTTTAGGAAATGAGATGTAGACGTCATATTTTTAACATGTATACATGTAAGCTAGAAGATCGGCTCTATTAGCATTAAACTTTTTGCAAAAGCCATATGTTTCTGTGTTGATTTGGAATTTCTTCTTCTTTTTAAAAAAATATATTTTATTGATAGTTTTACAGAGAGGAAGGGAGAGGGATAGAGAGTCAGAAACATCGATGAGAGAGAAACATCGATCAGCTGCCTCCTGCACACCCCCCACTGGAGATGTGCCTGCAACCAAGGTACATGCCCTTGACAGGAATCGAACCTGGGACCCTTCAGTCCACAGGCCAACACTCTATCCACTGAGCCAAACCTATCGGGGCTGGAATTTCTTCTTTAATCTCCCTGGAATTGTTGGCTATAGTGTGTTTCCTTTGTGATCTGGAGTCAGGTAGGTGACCTGTGTTGCGGTGCCAGATACTTGATACATCTCTATGCTGTTACAGAATTATAGTAGAGGACGCCGTGGATTGGCGACCCCACGACAAAATTGTGCTTGGCTCCTCTTCCTATGAGCCTCATGAAGCAGAGGTCCTCACTTTGAAAGAAGTTAAGGGTCACCATGTTCGGATCCAGGAGCGGCTCAAGCACCGGCACATTGGTAAGGTTTGCTTTGCTGGTTAAGGGAGGTGAATGAGCCGGGAAGAACGTGTTCTGCCTGGGGCCTTGGATCCCATCACCATCCATAGGAGAGGGACAGTGCTTTACTGCTGCCTAGACTCATCCTAGAAGGCTTATCTCTATCCCTTCATTCATTTTATTGCAGAATTAAAAATACATTGATGTGAGCGAATTTTTTAAACTTTTATTTATAATGGCAAGTCTAGAAGCAAGCAGAAGGGTTACAGCTCTTGTTCAAGGCCACTGGACATTTTCATGTCTAGGCCAGAATAAATCTCATGGGAGCTGAGTTCCTAGTTCATTTCCTGGCACTCTGAATTACACAGTTACTTAGAAGGTGGTAGTTATTGTAAACTAGAGGCCTGGTGCATGAAAATTCATGCACTGGAGGGGGGGTTCCCTCAGCCCGGCCTGCCCCCTCTCACAGTCTGGGAGCCCTCCGGGCCAGGAGGCGACCCTGTGATCAGGGGAAAGCGACACCCCAACACACCTCTGCTGCTGCCACTGCCGGCAGTGCAAGCCTCGGCCAGCCCTGGTTACCTGAGCCTCGGGCAGCCCTGGGTGGCTGGGGGGCTGAGGGGACTGGGGGACTTTGGAGGCAGGCACCCTGGTGGGGCTGAAGGGACTGGGTGCTGCCATCTTGTGGCTGTGGGCGCTGCCATCTTTGAGGGCATGGCAGCAATTAGCATATTCCCTCCTTATTGGCTGTGGGTGCTGCCATCTTTGAGGGCGGGGCAGTAAATTAGCATATTCCCTCCTTATTGGCTGTGGGCACCGCCATCTTTGTGATGGCATGAGGGTCAATTAGCATATTCCCTCTTTATTAGATAGGATAATGACTTCTTTTTCATACTTAGGAATGTACCCCTCCTGACATAAAGTTCATATTATGTGTTGACTACTACTGCTACCAAAAAATATTTAAATGCCTTTTCTCAAAAATATGCTGAATATTTTTATATACTATACACAGTTAAATATATATTGCACATAAATAATAAATAACCATAACCATACATTTCCTGCTTCCGTGGAATAAACTAATCTAACACAGAAGATACAGCAAATAAGTAATAAAACATGGAAATAGAGGGGTTAGGGAATATCTTTGTGTCTGTGATTTGTGAAAGGGAAATACATGTTTTCACCAGGAGTATATATAAAGCTACATTTAAATCATAGTTCCAAGGATGATTTCTGTTTTTAAAAAGTGGCCAAAGAAGAGAGAAATCTTCAGTGATCCTGGTCAGTGAAGTGCTCCATGTAGAGGGCAGTGACGGAAACCAGCCCTTGGCTGTTTGGCTCCCACTGCTGAGGAGGCTCCTCTGGCAGCAGTGAGCTTGAGACCCACTGTGGGAGGATGCTGCTGCCCTTGGTCCCTTCACTCTCATACATCGCTGCTTTAGTTCTGTCACTGCCTCAGTTGCTCTGGGATTCCTCACTCTCATGAAAGAAGTCCACAGACAATGTCCAACCAAACGCTGAGTCTCACACTGATGCAATTAAGGAAGGAGGACAGGGACCCCACTAATTGGACAGGTCTGCCCTGCTGTCCCTGCACAGCAACCTGTCCTAGTAGCCACAGTTATTGAGGAGAAATGAATTCTTGCTCAACCACTTTCACTCTAATCCCAAAGAGACACGAGTAACTGGGCTTTTCATTTCTCAGCTGACATTTGTGGAGATGCCCGAGGAAAAGCGGACCTGGATGCTGGTAGGACTTCCGAGGGGAAAGGAGTGTTTTCATTTGGCAGATTCCCTGGGTCCCAGACTGGTGATTCCTGAAGTTGGTTTTTAAAGGTGTTTCTTCCCCAACTCCTTTTGCCCCAGGAAGCGTACACGTCCTGGAGGATGGCCCATACATTCGTTTGGCTGCTGAGGTTGGACTTTTGACCCGAAATATACAAATCCAGTCTGATACATCGTGTAGGGGGAGACTGCTTGTGGGATCCTTCAGGAAGTCTAGCAGAGAAGAATTTTCAGGTAAATGAAATTTTAAGTGACATTGCCAATTGGAGCCTATTCTTCTGGGACATACAGAGAATTGTCCTTTATATAACAAAATGTACAAATTAAATGGCTCCTCTGTGCTCTGAGTAGCTATGCATTTTCAGTTCTAATCTGTGCTTAATTATCAGTGTGATGTTAAAATAATATACTAGCGATCGGCACATATGCACATTTTTACCTCAAAGAAAACATCTTCAGCAGATGTGAAATTTCCTCTGCTTTGAAATTATGGATGATTTAATGACCACTTGAGTTTTATCTCTTTCCTGAATTTCTATAATTCTTTCCCAGTAGCATGCAATATCTGATGGCAGGCCTCAGCTCATGCTATAAAGCAATAGCGTAAATTTAAATAAAAGTGATTTCCATATTCCAGACTGCTTTAAGGATCAGTTCATTCTCTCTCATTTCTTTCAAGTTTTAGCTCTTGGAATGCTGCAAAATTATTCGATTAGCGCTTTATTTCTTCAACTTGTATTCCTTAAATATTATTCCAACGTTGTTCCATAGTCAAATAAATTTGGGAGAGGCTATCACTGTAGCTCCATCTTAGAAAGTCACTGTGTACACGAATACAATACAGGCTCTGAGAAAGCCTCGAATAGAGGTTCTAACCACTTCCCAAAGATACCGAGCATGGAACACTTTTCGCTGGCACATCCGTTTCACCAGTATGATAAAGAGCAGTGTTTACACCTTACATCACAGTTCGGGATTTCTGGTCCATAGAACAAGCTTTCTCTCCATAAGCTCTCACTCCATTAGTTGTCAACACAAGTGAGTTTGCTTCTCCCCACACCCAAGGACATTTGTCCATATCTGGAGACATTTTTGCTTGTCACAACTTTGGTGGGTGAGTCTGTTTGTAAACTATCAATTGCTTCCCTTTTGTCCTTGGCTCTGAGTGAGGGGGAGCTGTCTAAAGTCTGTTTGGTCTCTTCAGGATTGAACTCACAGCTGGACTGGTGGTAACATGGCTGGGAAATCCAGGTGGTTGGGATCAAAATCTGGCTCTACCATTTGCTAGCTGTGTAATTGTGAACACGTTTCTTAGCCCCCGTGAGCCTCAGTAAAACATCAGTAAAACAAGGGTATTCACAGGGGTGGCTAAATGCATAGATTCTGGAGCCAAACTTTTCATGTTTGAATCCTGACCTTTGATTAACTATGTAAATTAAGATAAATTGCTAAATCCTTCTGGGTCTCACTCTCTAACTGTAAAACAAGAATAATGATGGAAACTTCACAGGGTTGTTATAAGGATTAACTGTGTTAAATACATATTAAAAAAAAAACCCTTAACATTTTTCTGTAACAAACTCCAGCATCTGGATTGGGTGGGATCTGCAGGTGTTGGTCAAGGGTGCCATCCATGGGTATTCAATGGTTATAGGGCAGAAAAGCAGACCAGAACTTATAACTCCTTTTTTTAAACTGGAGACCTCTGTCAGTCTCCTGCTTCGGATGAGACATATCCAGCAATTTGCACTCAGAATTGTGATTTTTCAATGGGAAAATAGTTGTGAACAAAATCACTGCTAAATTCTCTGTTGAAATGATTAAGACATTTTAAATGTGTACTATGAATTAATTTTCAGACTTGTGTAATTTAAAACTATGAATTATAATTATGCACGTATGACATTAAAACACTAATTATTATGAAAATTAAAATATAATATAGTGTGACTAAAATAAACATACAGAATTTTACTAGTATAGAATTTGAAAATGATTTTTAAAAAATGTTATTTCCTCCATGTCTTAATCAAGAGACATTATTGAATATCATGTTTTGGGCATATATTGAACAGAAATATATGTTCAAAAATTTTCACTTATCTCATACTCTTAAGAAATGTTTAAAATATTGATAGAGTTAGCCATTATATTTTTTTCATACAATATCTTTGTGGGGATGGCTATGACCTTTTCACATGGGGGTCACTGAGAAACAGAGAGGAAGACAGGATTCTGAGGTGAGTCCTAGGAATCCATATTCCCCTCATTCTTACCCAGTTCCTGACCCAGCCCTGCAGGCAGATGTCTGGAGTCTTTAAGCTACGTGTGCCCATCTCCTTTCTCTATCTTTCCTTTCCTTGTTCTCTATCCTATCACCAGACTCTCCAGTCTGCACACAAAACCTTTTTAGGCATTAATGTCACCTTCTAAAGATTCATATTTTGTTAGTGAAACTCACTGGCATGAAATACTGTGCTGGTGCTGAGAAGAAATGATTATATTTCAATGAAAAATCTACATATTCTGGTGTCAATAAATGGACCTTCCTTCTGCCTTTCATGGGGAAGAAAAAGTACCTGATGATATGCATTTTGTTTACAGGTGTCCTTCAACTACTAAATGTAGAAATTCAGAACTTTGGCTCACCATTGTCTTCATCCATTGAATTCACGAATGTGTCGGCAGGATCCTGGATAATATCTTCTGCTCTGCACCACAGCTGTGGTGGGGGCATTCGCGCAGTTGCCAGTCATGGGATCATTTTAAATGACAACATAGTGTTTAGCACCGTTGGTCATGGCATTGATTTGGAGGGTCAGGCCTATTCTCTCTCTAATAACCTTGTGGTTCTGATGACACAGTCAGCGTGGTCCACTGTTTGGGTGGCAGGCATCAAAGTGAACCAGGCAAAGGACACCACCCTCCGTGGTAATGTCGTGGCAGGATCGGAGAGACTTGGCTTTCACATCCGAGGCCAGAGGTGTTCCCCTCTTGAAGCTCTTTGGTCTGACAATGTGGCCCACTCAAGCCTTCACGGTCTTCATCTCTATAAGGAAAGTGGACTTGGCAACTGTACTAGAATCTCTGGCTTTTTGGCTTTCAAGAACTTTGACTACGGTGCCATGCTACATGTGGAGAACAGCATGGAGATAGAGAACGTCACTCTGGTGGACAACGCTATCGGTCTTCTGGCAGTAGTATATGTGTCTTCTGCTTCACAGCCTTCCATCGAAAATGTGCAGATTGTGCTTAGAAACTCAGTCATTGTGGCCACTAGCTCCTCTTTTGACTGCATTCAGGACAGGGTTAAGCCTGGCTCTGCCAACTGGACATTAATGGACCGAGCTCCTTCCAACCCCAGAGGGGGTCGAGTTGGTATTCTGTGGCCAGTGTTCACCTCAGAACCAAATCGGTGGCCTCAGGAACCATGGCACAAAGTGAGAAATGGCCATTCAGTTTCAGGAATCATGAAGCTTCAAGGTAGGATGTTTGGGCTTATCCAAATAATGTAGTTTCATATCTCTGTGCACAGAATTTTTAATAGCATTCTGAAATTATATCAACAAAAGAGTACAGTGTAGTCTAGTGCTTGTTGTACAATTGACCACCTGCTGCGTATTGATAACCACACTGATGGTTGATAATAGCAGTGAGTGATTCCTTTAAAAAGTTACTGCTTTAAACATGTTGAAGAACTTTCACAGCAATTATTGAATTTGATTATATGAAAATTCTCTTAGGTAGGTGTTATTTTTCCTATTATAGAAAGGAAGAAGTATAGATGCAGAAATTGTGTCTCACTGAAGTTGTTTACTAGTTGGTGGTGTAGCCAGGAATAAAATCAAATTATATCACTACCTATGCAGTTAATATTCTATTAGACCTCTTTTGTAATATTGTACTCACTCCCCATTGGATTTTATCAAACCTATGATAAAACATATCATTCTGAAGACATTGATGTGTTGGACTACTTCTATTTTGCAAAGAATACTCATGTCTTAAAGAGTTACAGATATTTAAATCAAGATTTATGTAAACTCCTGGAACTAGCCTGGACAGCTTAAATTAACTTCTGGACAAACAGTAGCAAAGATTGTTTAGTTGCGTAGTCTATATTTGCGGTTGGTAGTTTATGTGATCTAATGCCATGCTATGCTTAAATTTTTTTTTCAGATGTCACCTTTTCTAGTTTTGTGAAGAGTTGCTATAGCAATGACCTAGATGTATGCATTCTGCCCAATGCAGAGAACACTGGAATCATTCATCCCATAACAGCAGAGAGGACCAAAATGCTAAAGATCAAAGATAAAAACAAGTTCTACTTTCCTCCTTTACAAACCAGGTACCAGTTTTACTATTTATAAGCCATATCCATGAAGTATAAAATCATTAATGGAAATAAAAAGAAGTCCTTTTGAAAAGTATGCTAGATGAATTGCATGCCCCCCATTCTTTACGCCTCCCATGTCCAAGTGCTTTGCTATATGGTTTTTGCAGTGTCTCTCACCAAAGAGCAGAGGCTGTTTCTCTCTCTTGAATCTGGGTTCAGCCATGTGACTTTCTCTGGCTAATAAAAGGTGTAGACGTGATGCAGGGCAATTGTTATTGTTTTGTCTTTATTAGAGATATTTCTTTGGGATAGTTTCAATCACTGGAAAAAATGTTCCCTAATTCTTGTATATTCTATAGAGCATGGTGTCACTAGTCTTCAGAAGGAACCTTAGGAGCCCTTATGCAGGGACTGGTGGGGAGAAGGAAATCATGTCTGTTGTCAAGAACCCCTGAGTTGAATAAGGTGGCTTAGATAGATACTGGTGCTCAGACCAGGTGTAACCACTATTCTGGACCATATGATGGAGAGTTTCATTCAGGAACCTGAAAACTCGATAAGGCACTATTTTTGCCATAAAAGGAGCAGGAAAATCAGGATCAGGGAAAATGGGCTACTTTTCTTTCCCATAACATTGGGATAAACTCCTATAGTTGGAAGAAAAGAATCAAGAAAAATCACCCTAATTGGAAAGTGTATGTTTTTGGCCCAATACCTATCTCTTTAAGATGCCCATGCCTGAGCTACTTTTGGTACCTAAACATTATTAGGTATGTAATTTGGGTTGTCTTGTCATTTTTCATCTATGGTCCAATTTTCCTTATGTTCATGTAAACCTATGGGATGAAAGAATTATAAAGCTTAATAATACTACATCTGATTCTTTGTACTATTAATACTTAACACATGGTTGGCAGGCAATAATATTTGACACTAGTACTGATGGTACTGAAAAGTATTAGACCAGGAGAAATAAAATAAGTTTTCTAAATTTCAGTGTTATAATGGTCTACTATTTGTTTATATAAACCTCCTAAGGTTATATGACTCTAAATTCTGAAAGTATAGGAACCATGCCTGTATTTATCACCGTTATACCCCCCAACCTGTTAGTGGTAGGTTTTCAATAGATATTTGTTAAATGAGAATATCTATTTTTACCTTGTTTGCATATGGCATAAATATAATTGAAATTTATAATGATCCTATATAATAAAAGCCTAATATGCAAATCGACCAAACAGCGGAACAACCGGTGAAACGACCGGTCACTATGACGCACACTGACCACCAGGGGGCAGATGCTCAATGCAGGAGCTGCCCCCAGCCTACAGGCCCTACGTCAGCCAAGGCAGGTGCCAGTGGGGGCCCCTGATCGCCCTGCCACTCACCCCGCAGATTGGCCCTGATCGCTGGCCAGGCCTACGGAACCTACCGGTGCATGAATTTCATGCACCGGGCCTCTAGTAATCTTATAATACTACAAGGTACCAAAGTTCCATAAAGAAATGCTTACATTACTTTCAGTAGGTATTAAAATTAGGAGCATTTTATTGTATCTTACTGCTTAGAAAATTACAATCTATGTAAAGATGATATATCCAGAGTATTTGGATAACAATAATGCCTTTTTCTTGACCATATAACTGAGAAGTAATATTTTCTATAGAGTTTTATTTAATATCTATGTAACACATTACTACTAATAAATTCCTTTTTCATCAGATCAGTAATTTCAATATATTTTCTTTTTTGTTGCTCATGAAATGAGAGTTGCTTTCTGTCTGTCTTTACAGGGAAGATTTAGGAACACTGGTCTGCTCTGAATCCGTTTGTGAAAATCCAAGAAAATATCTCTTTAAGGATCTTGATGGGAGAGCCCTGGGTCTACCTCCACCCGTTTCTGTGTTTCCTAAAACTGAGGCAGAATGGACTGGATCCTTCTTCAACACAGGTTGGTTATAAAGGAACTCGATGCCTCCAGTAGGGGGCGCATGCATGAAGGAGCTGGTTTGGCTGTGTTGTCTATGCAGTGGTTGGCAAACTCATTAGTCAACAGAGCCAAATATCAATAGTACAACGATTGAAATTTCTTTTGAGAGCCAAATTTTTTAAACTTAAACTATATAGGTAGGTACATTGTTATTAACTTAATTAGGGTACTCCTAAGGCTTAGGAAGAGCCACACTCAAGGGGCCAAAAAGCCGCATGTAGATCTCGAGCTTCAGTTTCCCGACTCTAGTCAGGAAAGTCAGGAAACCAAATCTCCTGGAGAGGAAATGAATTCTGGAGTTGGAGCCTGTGCTAATATGCTGCTCACCTCACCTGTAGCAAAGGAATGTTGAGTGACTAAGAGATGTTGTGATCACTGTGTGGCCTCCGTGACGTTGCCAAAGGTGTACCTATGTCAAAGGTACAGATTCCCAGCACCAACTCTGTGCACAGGTGAGAACAATACTCTCACTAGCTTGGTCACCTGGGCCTGAAGCATCGTTCTCAGTGCTCAGAGCTTTGCAGTGTCAGCCACAGAGCCAGCAACTCTGGCTTCTGACTATCTTTCTCTATCACCAGAACTTAAGGGCTCTCAATCTGGAGAGGGTGGTGAAGTAGATGGCATGCAGTTTGCCTTCTTTTTCTCCATTTTTGTAATTGTCCCTGGGAGGTGTGTGTGTGTGTGTGTGTGTGTGTGTGTGTGTGTGTGTTGGGGGGGTAGTGGGGGGAGGGAGGCCAAGTTGTGATCAAAATTCCTCCTTCTTGCTTATACAAGCAAAACCCATTTACCTATCAGTTTTTATAGCTGGACCCCTAGAGAGATTATTGCCCTCCTTACTTCCACAAACAATGAGACTGAGTTTTCTTTTCAGTTCAGGTGGAACCTGCTGCAGGTAAATCTAAAAAATTTTCCCTGTGTTTTTTTTTTCCTGCTTCAGTGGTTGATGCTTCAGACTTCTAGTCTTTCTTCTCTTTTTAAATTTCTGAATTTGTGAATGTTCCAGAACTACATCCTCAGATCTGTTTTATTTTCTCTTCCTAATCATTAAGCCCAAGGTTGAAATACCACTTAATGCTGAAGACTTCCAATTTATATCTCCAGCCAGACTCAATCCTGAACTTTAGTCTGGTATATCCAAGTCCACGGAAAAGTATAACTGACATCTCAGACTTAACATGCCCTAAATGGGATTCTTCATCTCTGCCCCATCCATGTCCTGCTTCTTGCCTAGCTAACGCTACTTCAGTAATTGGTACCATCATTTATGAGGTGAATTAAGTAAATATCCAGAAACAATCATTTATTCTTTTTTTTTCAGAACCCAAATTCTCCTACTTCTAACCATCATCATCTCCCACCTGACAAGGGAATAACCTTCTAACTAGTCTTCTTTCTTATGCTCCTGTACCCTATTAGACAGGTCTTTTTGTCAATGATAGCCAGAGTGATCTTTCAACTTTCCAATGTTTTTTCTATCCTCCTCAGAATGAAATCCACATTACAAGCTGTGTAGTATCTGGCTCCTGCCCATCTCTCTCATTTCACTTTCTGTGACATCCTTTTTACTTATCATTGTCTTTTTTTTTATTTCACATGTTAAACTTATACCTACCTCAGGGCCTTTGCATTGGCTATTTCTTCTGCCAGAAAAATCCTGTTCTCACTTCTTTGCAGAGCTGGCTCCTTCTTTTCAAATGATAACTCCACAGAGAAGCCATCTCTGACCACCCTATCGAAAATAAATGTTCCTCCATTATTCTCTAGCCCTACTATGCCCGCTATTTTTTGTCAGAGTCCCATTACTTGAAATTATATTATAAATGTACCTGCCTACTTGTGGATTTACTGTTTGCCATTTTAGAGTACAAACTTCATGAGGGCAAGAATTTTGTTCTGTTTACTATTACATATTGGGGAGATGTCAGTTGATGAACTGATTAAGTGAATGAATTATTGATAACCAAGGAGACTATTAATGCTGTTTTCCCCATATCATTTAAGAACATACAGAAGAAATTGAGGCCTTCAGGTCATTGGTTTAAGGATTTATCTATAATATGGAATCCTGGAACCAAGAAGTTTCCAGGTATCTCTTTACTTGTTTTCACTTTTCTTCCATTTGAACTACTACTACTTTATAGCACTTGCCTTTTAGAAAAGTTTTACATAAGTCATTAATTACCATGCAGTTTCATGCTTCAACACTGTTTAATATTTCTCTCAAAAATTTTCATAGGTTGAAGGCTTATCTTTGCAACAGAGTGAAAAGCTGTGAGGATTATAGTGTAGGATTTAGAAAGTCATTACTGAGTGCATGAAGCATGCTGAGTAAATATTCATTTTGATATGTTGGTTATATCTGTTGAATATAACCAGCAAATACACATTTGTACAGAAGAATGAAATCCAGGAAAACATCCATATTGAGAAAATATGTGTAGAATAGTAAATGGGGAAAAAAAGATAGGAAACTAGTTTCCCATTTACCACTAGTTCTATTCAAATCGCTTTCTTAACAAAATAATTTATTGATTTTAGAGTGAGGGGAAGAGAGAGAGAAAGAGAGAGAGAGAGAGAGAAACAAAGAAAGATAGGTTTGCTGTTCCACTTATTTAGGTATTCATTGGTTGCTTCTTGTATGTGTCCTGACCAGGGATCGAACCCAAACTTTGGCATTTGGGATGATGCTCCAAACAACTGAGCTACCTGGCCAGGGCTTCAAATAGCTTTCTGTAGTAAGTTGTCTTACTGGTTTTAAAAATCATCCCCCTGTTACAGGTGTTATGCAATTAAGAAAACATTCTTATACTTTAAAATAAGTACATGAATAATTGTGAGTTTTTCCTAAACTTGTGAGTTTGGGTGAGGATCCCATTTCTGTGAAATCAGTATCAAGGGATACATGTTTCAGAGTATTTAGTGAAAATTAAATTTCACAGAAGAATAAGGACTGAAGAGTGTCTTCAGTTGCCTCCGAAGCAGACCCTGATACAAGGCTTAAAATCCAAGTAGTTTACATGGAGGTGAACTCAGGAAAGCAGGGAAGGGGGAAATGAGCCAGGGAAAGGACTGAGGCCATTCAGGGATGTGTTGTCAAACTGGTTACCACTCTGGACAACTGGAGCTCAAGTCTGGCGGGGAACTTCAGGAGACCTAGGGAACATGACCCAAAGTATCCCAGCTAAGTCCTGATGAAGCTAAGGTAGTTATACCTCAAATCGCTATTTATCTCTGGCTGAGGGTTGCTATTGGGGTCATTCACTCCCTAGTCCTCTGGCTTTCCCTGAACACAGGCCAATTGTGCTCTTTCCCATGGCCAGAAAAGTCCCTTCTCAAAAGGGAGCTGTCACTTTTTAGCAGCAGTCTTTTGTCTGTGAAGATGAGTGCCAAAGCTATTTGGGTATAGCTCTTAAATATCTGTCTAGTCCTCCATGTGTGAATAATAATGTTCTTTGATGAAATCTTAGGTAGTTGCTAACCTTGTGATGTAACTACACTATTTAGGCACCAACATGCTCTTGCTCCTGGTTGCAATGCTGTGTGTTTTATTTCCATCAGTCTCTGTGTTGGGTGTGAAACATGATTCAATGATGGTAAAACTCCAGCGTATTGTACTATTGCATACCATTTACTATCAATGTGTGGACAAGCATGAGCATGTGTGTGGGTGGCTGAATATAAAGAGGGAGGTATATATGACTGACTACCTTAAACTCCTGATGTTTTAAATCTTTATAACATTTTAAATGAGGTTGCTATAGGTTCCAACTGCATGGATTCCCACAGTAGAATCTGCTGTTCACTTCACTAAAAATAAAATCTGTGTCCTCTTGCAAGGAAGGAGACAGCCCATAGTAAGTGGTGCCTTCCGCGAGCGAACAGAATGTAATGTTTTCCTTCGACTCCCAAATAGGAAGAAACCCCTCCTTCACTAATTCAAGTCCATTTTTATTTTTTAAACCATTCTCTACTATGCTACTTTCCTGTTCATAATCTGGTAGATGAGAAAAGTACAAAGTTAATCTCAAGAGCATGAATATCTATTTTGTATTTTCCTCTTTCAAGACAAGCATCTATGATCTTCTATAAAACAGCAAGAGCAGTGCCGCAAAGATGAAAATGAGGGCCATGGGAACCAGCGCTCACTTTTATTCCACATGGCACTGCCTTTCTCAGTTTTATTGGCAGCTTGAAATCCATTGCCTTTGAGGTTTAGTTTTAACTTGAAAAAAACACATTTTATTTGCACATATAAGTTCACATTGCAAAACTACCCACTCAGACAGATAGCCACAGGTCCCTCATATTGTCATATTCTCCAGCATCAGGAGCAAAAATTACCCACGTGGGTCAGCTCTGAGGAATGCTGTGCCAGTGGGCTTTTTATCTGTGCAATGCAGGGTGTGTAGCCAGGGGAAAGTGAGCTGCTAATTTTGGTTTGTACTTATCTGTAAGTTAGCATTTCCAGCCAACTTTGAAACATGCTTGACAAAGAGTGCAAGGCAGCTAATCCCAAGCAGATCCTCTGAGAACCATTTGCATTTTATTCCAGAAAGGATTTGGTTTTATTATGGCGGCATCTGATCATCTGAAAATCCAAAATCATTTAGAAAAACAAAGTCTTGAAATTCATATCCCATTTAGGTAAGACGAGATAGATATCAAAGCTTTCCACTTTGCTTCTCACTCATTTCCTGTCAGTCTCAGACAACAAATAGGTAGCATCACCTCTCAGACCAGTTCATACATGTGGAATACTGAACTGAAAAAAAAAAGTCAGGGCTTTAGTTTCTATGGCATTTGACAGTTTCTCAGACGTGATGAGGATGGTAGAGGGAGATGAACTGAGCGTGTTTAGTGTGCTAAGCACTGAAGCTGGTATTTTCATTTATTCAGTGAATGCATGTTGACCACTCTACCCGCACCTTTGTAAGGATGGAGCTGTCGTTGTGAACAAGGCAACATTCCTGCTTTCATCAAACTCAGGTTCGAATAAACTTATGAACAAATAAATAAAAGTATTCCAATAGTGATGAGAGTTATAAAAAAGTGAAATAGGGTTAGAGAGGTAGATTGAGGGGTGTGTGTGTGTGTGTGTGTGTGTGTAAGGAAGTTGCTATTTGAAATAGAGTTACATTTCCAATGAGCCTGAATGAGGAGTGAGGATTCACACTGCTCTGAGCAGAGGGAGTGGCCTTCTAGGGAGAAGGACCAGGACACTGACCTGAATGGCCTCAATGTGTCGGAGGGGTGGGTGGGAAGGAGATCGGTGCCACTGGTAAGTAGTGAATGAGAAGGAGAACAATTGGAGCTAGCTAGGAGCTAGGCCAGAGCCCTTTAATAAGATGGTGATGGAGGGTTTTAAGAAAGATGGTCATAGGATTTTATTCACTCTTTGAAAAGACAAGACAAGGTGCTGTGGAGTGAATGGATAATGGGTGGGAGCAGGGCTGGGAGCAGGCAGTGCATGAGGAAGCTGAAGTTAAGGAAGCTGGCAGAGTCGTAGGCTCTGCGGCTTCACAGACAGTGGCCCAAGAGTTGCATTACCCCATGCGTGGTCCTGTGCTGGCTCATGAACTCTTGCACCGGTTCACAGGGAGATAATTACAGAAAGCTGTCACTTAAGTCACTTAGAAACACAACAATCTGACAGTATCTGTTGAATCTAAAAAATAAATCTTGGGCTTTTATTTTGTATGTCTAATTTGTCTAATAAGTTATACTGTATTTTTAAAAGTATTGGTCCACAAAGGACTGGAAATTTTAAAACAAACAAAACAAAACCAAAAACCCCTGTTCTCCTGCCAAACTTTCTCCAGTTTAGGAGATGCATTTCGTGTCCTAAGGAAAGTGTCTCCAAAGCTGGCTTATCACCTAGGACATTAAACATTCATACCTATGTTGAGGGGGTTTTGAGTCAATAGGTGTTTGTGAGGCCCAAGCCTTTGTATTTGCGCGCGCGCGCACACACACACACACACACACACACACACACCCTCCCCAAGTGATTCCACTGTGAGAAGGTTTCAGAATCACTACTATAGAATTATAGGCTGCCTTTGCAGTAATAGGCTGGATGTTAAGAAGACAATTAATACTTTTAATTAATTTAAAAAGTGGGCAGTTTTAATTTCTCATGAAAAATCAAGAATAGCTTTCTGTGCCAAATAGCAACAGACATAAACATACTTGCTTATATACACACTGGGTATATTTCCAAAAGGGAAAAGAACATTAACCAAACACACACACACAGAAAAAAACACCAACCTTTTCTTAAACATAGATTATTTTTCCTAGTATTGGAGTTGAGTGACCTCAGAATGCCATTTTCATACACATCACTGGATAAAAATGGGTACAATGCTAAGTTTATTTTTTTAATTCTACATTGAATCATTATATTAAAAACTGAAATTCATGATAAGCTTTTCCCACACTTGCCTTGACGTCCTTCCCAGCAAAGTGCCCGGGTCTGACCTGCGGGGCAGGTGAGTTTCTCATTCTTTACTGTGAGAGGGAAAGAAACATTTTTCAAATTGTGTTACTTCTTGGTCGCCTCTTGAGAAAGAAAGTTGTAAACCATAGTGGAGACCTTAAAAGTGACTGGCCTCAAATCAAAAATAAAAGATTAGGTGGATAAAAAAGAAAATAAAGCTGGCATTTGACTGTCAGCTCGGAGAGTGATGAAGAGGTTTCCAGCTGAATAATGGGAAAGCTCAGTAATGTGGAGACGGAGACGTAGGCTCGGCGGCTTCGCAGACAGTGGCCGGCATTTTCTCTACTTTTGTTGCTAGAACTTGAAATGTGTCTTTTCTTTAAGCTTTCTAGGCTTCTCGTTCCTCCCATTTGTCCTGGGAATGACAGCAAGATGGTATTATAAAACGGGGAGACGGGAGAGGGAGGGAGGAATGAGAGGACAGAATGGAGAGAGGGAACGGTTGTTAGGAAATTTGTCTGCAAATATCTGTGCTCGCCGAGGCCTTTTTCTTCTAGCTAGAGGGGGAAATACCATTCTCTTTTCCCAAGCAATTATAGGCCCCAAAGATTGAAACTTGGTATATAGCTCTTTAATCTCAGCAGATATTTATGGTTAAACATTAGACTTTTAGGATTCCAGATGTCAGGGTATTAAAATATAAAGGCACAGTGGCGTCTCAGAAAATATTAGAATCTTTGGAATACGTGGCTGCAGGGGTTCTTATCCCAAGCAGAGGAGGATAAAGCTCTCAGTGATACTTTGCAAGACCCAAAGAGCACCTTTCCTTCACCTTATTCTCTCCCTCCCCATGACTTGCCTGGTCTCCAGGCAGTGAACGGCATAACCATTTCTAATTGCATTTCGAAATAGTCCATGCTGTGCACTGGAGTGGTTTTTCATGTGCTATTTTTAAAGGGTGTTGCGGAAAGGCATAGGATCCATGGGAATGATTTCCTTTTTCTCTTTATTCAGTCTAGGCGTTTTATCCTTGAGATTGTCTTGCTCCTCGAGTCTTCCATGAACAAATAATACCTGTTAACTGTCACCATGTTTCTGACTCTATGCTAAGACCTTCAGATGAATTATCTCATGTAATTGAATGCCATCAACAGGATCTATCTTTTGAAATAGATAGTCCCTCCACCTGTAGATGTGGAAACTGATGTAGAGACATTAGGTCACTTGCCCAAGTCATACAACTAATTAATAGGGGAGTCAGGACTGACTTTGTGTTTTTAACACTATGCCATATTATACACAGTCCCTTCCTTCTAGGATTTCTTCCTTCTTTCTGTGCATCCTCCAATATCAGGTCTGTAAATCTATCAGCTTTTATCAAACAGAAAGTCCTGTCTACACAGAACAAAGCAAAGTGTGCAATTATTCCAGCAATTATCCCTCCCAACTAGCAATAGTAACAGTTACCATGTATCCAGCAGATTCCATGTGCCGGGCATTGTGGTAAGTGGTTTATAAATGTTCCCATTTATCCTTTCAACAACCTTAACATGTAGGGATTGTTATTCCTTTTCAGCATCTAAAGAAATAGGGATTTAGAATAGTTAACTCATTTTTCATGGTCCCACGGCTAGAATGTGCAGAACCAAGATTTATTATCTATATTTGACTCCAAAGTCTGGGCTTGTAACCACTTCTAGATGATTATCATCTTGTGGCCTGAGTCATGGTGGGGTGCTATATTGAGATATATTTAACTGGGTAACTTACATATTTCCATTTTACACGGTAGAAAATCGAATTTTTAGTTAAAAAACAACTGTCAATTATTGTGACATTTTTGAAAGGCAATGTAATAGCATCCACAAAAAGGCCATATATATGACCATTTTTCATGTACAGACTAGTCTCTGTCACATCCAAGAAAAACATTGCCAGTATTAACCACTGGAGGTTGTGTGATGACACCCCATAGGGTAGTATGAGCTTTGGTCATGAGACCAAAATTTTATTATAGTAATTTTTTTGTAGCTTCTTTTTCCCTCAGTGAGTTCATGTAGTTTTTTTTGTTTTGTTTCAGTTTTCCTATTTAGACAAATATTTATTGAGTGCCCAGTGAGAGCAAAGCACTACTTTCTGATGGTATATCATAAAGGGGCATCAAGGTAGGTAAGAAACCCTTCCCACCCTCACACACGGGGGCAGGAGGGCCAGGCTACACGACAGAAAAGTAGTTGTTATAAAATTGGCACAAAGTACATTGGAGAGATCAAATAGTTGGGGATATCGACAAGGGCTTTAAGAAGGAAATAGAATTTGCCATTAGCCTACACCATTGGTTAAAGTTTCAAAAGACATGTAAGAAAGAGGGAAGGAAAATTGTTGTGTTTAGAAGTAGCAGACACAGGGCTGTCCTCTGTGTGACAGTATAGAAGCCTCGTCCACACACAGGGAGTTGGGTCTCTGCCTCCTTATGCCCTTGTTTTACCATCACTCAATTCTATTATAACCCATCTCATGCTCTACTGACATCATTCTACAAGCCCTGACTTCTCATCAGACTGTGCATTCCTTGAAGACAAAATCTTTAAAGTTTTAGTATAATCCCTGGAACATAAGGCATGTTTAGTAAATATTCATGGAATGAGGGATTAAATGAATAAATAGATGAAAACTGGTAAATGAGTGAAAATTTTAAAAATTCAAATTTAGTTTGCCAGTCAACTGTTTCACAAAGTAAATATTATAGATTTACTTAATGTAAAATTTTTGTAGCATTTTTTTTTGTGAACAGAAACACATTTATTACAAAAAAAAAAACCCCAAAAAACAAATTCACATTGTATCGAGCTACAATATGGCAGCAGATAAAAAAAAAAGAGGTTCTATGTGCTTCCTGGACTTGGAAGTCTATTTCTTTCACCAGGTAGGGGAAGTTTTCTGTCATTATTTCTTCAAATAGATTTTCAGTATCTTGCTCTCTCTCTTCTTTTGGCACCCCTATAATTCGGATGTTGGTATGCTTGAAGCTGTCCCAGAGGCTCCTTACACTATCTTCGTATTTTTGGATTCTCTTTTCATTTTGCTTTTCTGGTTGAGTGTTTTTTTTTTCCTTCGTATTTCAAATCTTTGACTTGATTCTTGCGATCCTCTAGTCTGCTGTTGGGACCCCAAACAAAAGGAATCCAAAAAGGACCACACCAAGATACATCATAATTAAAATGCCAAGAGCAAAAGACAAGGAGAGAATCCTAAAAGCAGCAAGAGAAAGAAAATCAGTTACCTACAAGGGAATACCCATACGACTATCAGCTGATTTCTCAACAGAAACTTTGCAGGCCAGAAGGGAGTGGCAAGAAATATTCAAAGTGCTGAATACCAAGAACCTACAACCAAGATTACTTTATCCAGCAAAGCTATCATTCAGAAGTGAAGGTCAGATAAAGAGCTTCACAGATTAGAAAAAGCTAAAGGAGTTCATCACCACCAAACCAGTATTATATGAAATGCTGAAAAGTATCCTTTAAGAAGAGGAATAAGAAGAAAAAGGTAAAGATACAAACTATGAACAACAAATACACATCTATCAACAAGTGAATCTAAAAATCAAGTGAATAAATAATCTCTGATGAACAGTATGAACTGGTAGAATCAGGGACATAGAAAGGGAATGGACTGACTATTCCTGGGGGTGGGGGGAAAAGGGGTGTGGGGGGTGCGGGAAGAGATTGGACAATAATTGTGCACCTATGGATGAGGACAGTGTGTGGGGAGTGAGGGCGGAGGGTGGGGTGGGAACTGGGTGGAGGGGAGTTATGGTGGGAAAAAAGAGGAACCAATGTAATAATCTGAACAATAAAGATTTAATTTTTAAAAAAGATTATTGTACACAGTTTAAGATAACTCCTAAAAGAACATACTCTGGTTGCCACATGACGGAACACAGGATTCCAAGCACTTAGTAGCGGCGAGTGAAGGGAGCGTCGTTGGGTGGGCTGCCCCGGTTCTGGCCAGCAAATCCACCTTGCATTCCACCACGCGGGATCACGTGACCCCGAGAGGCCCCATCTGGGGTAAAGCTGCCACATCCTGACATCCTTCCCCTGTTCATTATGTGACTTCGCCCAGAGTGACCGGACATACTTCTCTCACCACCTTGCCGCCTCTTGTGGTCCCTGTCTATCATGCCTCCATCAGTAGCGCCCTCAATTCTTCGGCCATGGTCCCCCCAGTCACGTCTGGATGGAGGAGGCAGTCCCCGGCCCTCGCGCTTCCTCTTGTCAGAGCCATATCCGCCCCACCTGTCACGGGAGTCCCGTCCATGGCGCTCTGGTCCTCCGTGGCGTTCAGGATAATGCTGTCCTCCTCTTTCTCCCATCATTGACTTTGAACCTTCTCTCCTGTCTACTGAGTGGTCAGGGTAGCGGCCCCGGTCTCTGTGGTCAAAGTCATGGAAGCGGTCGTAGCGGCTGAAGTCAGAATGGTAACGCTCATCCAGGGCAGCTCTCTTGGCTTCTGGCCAATAGGCATCCTCTCGCCAGCCATCCACATCATAGGGCCTCCGCACAGCAGGCCGCCGTTCCTGCTCATAGCGTAATTCCTGCTGTCGCCGTAGCTCCTCCCGCTCTTGGTGAATGCGCTCTTGTTCCTTCCTGCGCTCATGCTCCACATGCTTGAGCTCGCGCTCTAGCCGCTCCCGCTCCAGGCGGTGCCGATGGAAGGCCAGCCTCTCTCGGGCATACTCCAGCTGCTCCCGCTGCTCCCGCTGCTCCTGCTCCCACAGTGCCTGCATGCATTGCTCCTGCTCACTGCGCCCACACAACCTGCGGGACTCGCAGTCTCTTGATTTCCGAGGCTCTTTGACTCTATCAAAGGACACAACAGACCGCTTCTCTCTGCTGGCTGATTTGCGATCCTGGCTCTTAGAAACTCTCTCTTTGGATCCCGATGTTTTGACACTAATAACAGGCACACCTTTAGATTTATCCATTACTACAGTCCGCTCGGTTCCTCGACTACCTGATTTTGTGGTTCGAGATCGCTCTGAAGGGCCAGGTTTCTGATCATCTGGATCTTTACTCTTTTCTCCACTTCCATCTTCACCCTTTTTAGCATCATCTTTTCTGTCAGCTTTATCTTCCCTTTTAAGGTTTGCTGATCTGTCGCTGGTGCTGGACTTCTCTTTTTTCCCTTCACCTTCTCTTTTGTCAGAGGTTTCCTTTCCAGCAGGCTCATTTTTTGCCTTTTCCACTGAGATCATCTTTCCGTGGAGCTCAGTCTTGTGCAGGTGGTTAATGCATTTTGTGGCCTCTTCCGCTGTGGACATTGTCACAAAGCCGTAGCAGCGAGCTCCAGGACTCCGAGCATTTGTCACAACCTTGGCACCCACCACCTTTCCATATTTGCTGAAAAGATTCTTCAAATCTGTAGCTCTGGTGGTGGAAGAAAGTCCACTAACCCAAAAATTTCTACAACTGCTAAGACCTTTGTCCTCTTTGGAAAGCCGTTTTGTATCCGAATCATCTTCGACAGAATTTATTTTCTGATCAGCACCCTCACTGGCTGAGGACTCTTTAGGAGCTGGAGGGACTTCATTACAAGCTTCAAAAGAAAACTTCTTCATGTCTTCTTTGCTATCTCTGGGATCTGGGCTTGAGGCTTCCTGTGGTGCTTCTGTGACCCCCTCGCTAAAGGCTTCTGTGCGCTCTGAGGCTTTACTACTCTGCTCAGCTGGCTCCTCTAGCCCTACAGGCTCACAGTCCATCCTCTCGTCACCGCCTGTCTGCTCCACGGGCTCTCTTTTCACTACCGCTAACAGGGTGTCTGCCTTGCTCCACTGAGCTTGTGCTGTTGACTCGCTGGCCATAAAGGTCCTCTTCTTCCGAAAGCTTTCTGTCTGGCCGAACGCTACTTGTATCCTGTTAGGGTCCAGACCCAGCAGGTCCAGGGGTTCCCAAAGGTGTGGATGGAGTCAGCAAAGGAGGAATGACATGAAGGCAGCGTTCAGTTGATCAGCAGCCTAGCCAGGTTCTCTAGCCAGGATCTCCAGCCAAGTTCTGTCTTTTATTGTCTTGTTACATCTGTATTTATACCAGTTGATTTTAATCCTATCAATTTCTATTCCAAAGGTTAGGGCGTTTCTTATCTCCATTCCAGGGAGTAAAGATTATGTAATTTAAGTGTGATTGTTCGTAGTTAAAGTGATTAACTACCCGCCTGGCACTTAGTTAAGGGGTTTTATTCCCTCCCTAACTTCAGGGGAAAATCCCTACCTGGGGAAACAACCTTTCTCGGAGAGGTGACCTTGGTTAAAACACATAGCAACAAGAAGGGGAGCAAACATATTAAGAACAGTATGCCATATACGCCAGGTCCCTTGAAACATATGCTGTGTAGATGTTTTTTCCCTGCAGCGACTGTGTCAAGCAGCAAGGATGGACCGGCTTCCAGCAGTATCCTGTGCAAATGGCTGTTCCAGCTCGGAACCTTCTTCTTTTACTGGCTCAGCTTTACAAGTTTCCCCCAAAATGTCGAGTATTTTCTCATTTTCTGGCTCCAAGGATGGCTCTTCAATTTCCTGTAACATAGTGAAGTCAGATGATGAAGCATCTAAGTTATTTATAATTTCTCTGTCCTCTAGAGCATGTTCTTGAAGTTGCTCAGGAAGCTCTTTCAGTTCTCCCTCTAGCTCGCTACTATCAGACTCTAGGAGATTATCAGCATCATCGTCTTCCACACAATCTGCAACACTTCCATTATCGATTTCTGCTTCATCTAACACGCTGATATCCATCATGTCAATGTCCTGAAAGTTCTCCAAACTGGCTTCACCATCCTCCTGTCCATCCCCAGAATTTTCCTCCAGCCCATTATCTTCCAAACCTTCTTCTTCTGGTTTACGTCCTTTGTTAGATCTTTTTAATGTCTTCTTGTTTCCTTCAGAGGTAATTTCAATTTCATCAGGATGACCCCCTTCATCTTTAATTGCCTTTCTGAGCCTCTCCATCAGAACGCTCCGTTTCTTCAGCTCCGCCCGCAGATCGATCACCCGCAGGAGGTGCCATGTCCCGTCTCAGAGGAGGCGGAGCTCAGAGCCGCTGCACCCAAATCGCCTAGGCCTGAGAGAGTCTCCGCCATTCCAGGGACCCCGGGCTCCGCCACCCACTTCACACAGAACTGGGCCGGGGTTCTCTCAGCTCCTAGCACAAAATCTTTTTGTAGCATTTTAAAAGAATGTTCCGTATTCATTAATCTCAGGAGATTGTTCATGGCCACATACATTTTTGAAAACTCTGTTGCCATTTTGGAGATTCATCATGTGCATTAAAATATTAAAGGTTCTGATAAGTCCTGAAATTAAATTTTTAAAATAATATTTAAATTTGTGTTATGCAGTATTTCTTAAACTTTTTAACTAGAGAATACTTGTTTACACTACACATTAGTGATCCTTGGAATTAGTGTAATTTTCAGAATGAATGTTGGGAAATATTCATATTAGTTGATAGGAATATATGCCAGTTGAAAAAAAAATCTTACAGCATTTTTAATTTGGATGGTTCCCTGAAGGCTAATATGTTCCACTTCCCACTCAATGTATGGATGACCATTACCTTTACTTTTCCCAGGAAGTGGGCATCCACTCCCTTACAAGGCTTGCTAATATATTTTGAATAATTTTACTTTTTAGTATCTTCTTTTTATGATTTCCACATTACAGCCTTTTTGCCGGAAGCCGGTCCATCCTTGCTGCTTGACACAGTCGCTGCAGGAAAGAAACCTCTGCACAGCATATGTTTCAAGGGACCTCGCATATATAGCATATTGTTCTTAATATGTTTGCTCTCCTTAGTGCCATGTGTTTTAACCAAGGTCACCTCTCCGAGAAAGGTTGTTTCCCCAGGTGGGGATTTTTCCCTGAGGTTAGGGAGGGGATACAACCCCTTAACTAAGTGCCAGGCGGGTAGTTAATCACTTTAACTACAAATAATCACACTTAAGCTACATAATCTTTAATCCCTGGAATGGAGATAAGAAACGCCCTAACCTTTGCAATAGAAATTGACAGGATTAAAATCGACTGGTATAAATACAGATGTAACAAGACAATAAACATCAGATCCTAACCAGAACTTGGCCGGAGCTCTTAACCAGAACTTCACTGGAGATCCGGACCAGAACTTGGCTGGAGTTCCTGGCTAGAGATCCTGGCTAGGCTGCTGATCAACTGAAGGCTGTCTCCATGTCATTCCTTCATCGCTGACTCTGTCCACACCTTTGGGGACCCCTGGACCCGCTGGGGTTGGAACCCAGCAATATTTAAGGATAATAAAACAGCAATCTTATAATGACCCAATATGCCTCTTTCAAGCATAAAAATTCTAAATTTCATCTGATAGTCAATATATGACAGATTGTTTTTTAGTCTTCACTTTTTAGACTGGCTTATTTTTTATATTCATTAGTTTGTGAATGATTTTTCCAAAATGTAGAAATTAGTTTTTTTTCATATGAGTTGCAAGATTTTTCCTACTTTCTTAATTTAGTTTAGATTTTAATATTCTTTGTAGACATGTTTAATTCTTATAGTCAAATTTCTCAAATCTTTTCATATGGTTTCTAGATTTTTATGTATGCTAAGAAAGATCTCCACAGCTCTAAGATCATTTAACTTCATTAATATTTTCTGTTAATTCTAATGATTCATTTTTTTAATCTTTAACCCATGTAGAATTTATTTTTGTGAAGGAAAAGATATAAATTTTTTCCTTAGGTGATTAGTCAAATGCTTCAACATCATTAATTGAAGAATTTCTATTTTCCCATGATTTAAAACATCATCTTTGTTATAAACTATGTTCTCAAAGAAATTTAGATTTCTGACCTTTAAAAATATTTTGCTCCATCCTTATGCTATCTATAGTATATTTTTAATTATTACATTCAAATTGTCAAGAATTGCATTAGTTTTTATATCTAGTGAGTATGCAAATATATGGAGATAAACTGAAAACTAGATCAAACAATCTTTTAAATCCATGAAATTGAAATGAGAAAATTTCATGAATTTGTTTGGTACCTATTGGTAAGGAAACTATTGATGGGCTGCTTAAGTATTCCCTTCCATTAAAATGCACATACACAAATGTAAAATAATCCAACAGACAAACAACATCTATCTGTCTTAGGTATAAAACCAGTTGAAATTTGAGCTTCTATCTACTAAATCTTTCAATACTACTGTACCGAAAGAATGAAATGCAAGATTCTTCTATTATTAAAATTTGAAAAATGAAAACACATGAATTCCTAAAAATAATAAGGTAGGAATTTTTTAAAGAGAAAGAAAGGGAAAAAAAAGAAAATGAAAAAGGGAAAAGAGAGAGCCAGTATATTGCCATGGCAAAAAGTAAAATAATTTCTTTTAGTTACAGGTGTTCAAAAATGTCCCTGCTTGTGGAATACTGATGTTACTGTTTCTCATACAACAAAGGCATAGAAATGTGAATAGATCTCAATAAAATGTGGGGAAATTTTACTCAAAACTGTTCTCGAAGGTCACTTGATGGAGCCTCTTGGCATCAGGCAACCATCTAATGGCCTATACTTGTGACTCAGAAATTACCTTCAAGATTTTGGTTGAGTGAATAAATGAAACAGTAAAACACACAGTAAAAAAGAGAAGACTCTGCCTTGTACCTGTCTGCCGTCCAGATCTTTAATACCACTGCTCAGAGGGATCAACTGGGAAGTTACCATTTTAGAAAATCATCTATATGTATCATTATTTTAATAAGAATAATGATAGTAAAACTCATTTATGTAACAAATGGGAATTCTGAAAAATGAGTTGGTTATTATGGAAAGCATGTCAAGAAAAGAGAGACAGAGGAAAATAAATTTTCCTACATCTGGAAGCCAATCTTTCAACTACAGAATTAGGGGCTCCCTGTAGGACCCAGTTCCAATTTGCTTAGGTCCTTCTCAGGAGAAATATTAATAAAAATTGAATAGAAGTTCCTGAGAGTAATTGCCATGGAGAAAGGGAGTCAAAGTTGAATTTTTAAATGCGGTTGAGGGTAATAACCTCTTCCCTTACCTTTCCTTGAGCATAGCCCCAGTGGAAACCAGCCTATCTCTACACCTAGGCTGTGTTCTCTCTTTCTGCTTAAACACTTTAGACTCTAAAGTTTAGAGGCAAAGGAGCAGACCCTAGAACTATAAAAGACACATAAAATACTTAGCTCCATAGCTGGCTCAGGATAAGCGATGAGTGAAATACTACTGACCACTAGTTTGTTGCCCCAACTTCTCATGGACCTGGCTGGGATTATGACTTGAACATTTGAGCATCATATCTGAGCTGGTCCTTGTGTTAGTATTCTATTGCTGCCATAACAAATTTAGTAGCTTAAACAACATCCATGTATTACCTCATAGTTCTGTAGGTCAAAAGTTTAGTATACTAAACTTTGTGTCCCCCAAGGCCATATTTAGGATGTTGGCAGGACTGCATTTCTTTCTGAAGTCTTCAGAATGAATTCACATCCAATCTCACTTTTTTTTTTTCTGAATTCAGTTCCATGTGACTGTAGGACTGAGGTCCCCATTCCCTTGCTTGTTGTAGGCTGGGGGTCATGCCCAGCTTCTAGGACTTATGGCTCCCTTCATCTTCAAAGCCAGCGACCTAGATTTGTGTCCCTAGATTGTATCAAGAACCTCTCCTGCCTTCTCTTCCACCGCATCTCTCTGATTCCAGCCAAAGAAAGTTATCTGCATTTTAAAGTTTTATAGTATTAGATTGGGTCCACTCTGATAATTTCCCCACTTTATGACCTATAACCTTGATCACATCTGCAAAGTCCTTTGCCATATTCACAAGTTCAGGATTAGGGTATGGACATCTTTGGGAGGTTAATCATCCTACTATGGTCCTTTGTAAGGCCTAAGTTTTAGTTGCAGAAGGTGGGAGAATATGGAATAAGAAATACTAACTTGGAATACTGATGCTATAACTGAAAGATTTCTTCTCTCACAGGAAGCAAGCTAGACTGTTTATCTTGTTTCAGTTAGTGTAGAAATGCGGAGGGTTTCATATCTGCTCTATAGGCTGGACATCAGGTTTTGATGGCAAATTGTCAGTATGATCTGGTTTATGTGATGTGATTATGTAACATTATGAATCTTAACCTGATTTTGGTCTTATTTTTGTTAAAGTTGAAGCAGAAAAATACCTTATTTTGATATGCAATGAAATATATACTTTACTACATGTACAGGGTGAGACAAACAGGTTTACAGTTCATATGGAAAACAATACAATAATTAATACTCCATAAATAATAATAATACAATAATAAACTCTGTATTTCATGTACTCATCACTGTAAACCCACACTGTATTTTAAATATGATTGTGTACTGTGTACTACCTTTGATATATTTACCTGCTATGCTAGTGCTTCTAAATATGGCCAGCATTTGCCTCATGCACCAATCTCCCTTGAGTTCCATGGAACAGCGTTTAGGCACTAGAAAGTCTTGGATGCCCAGTGCCTGATGATGCTCAGTGACACCAATGTGAACTCCTGTAATAAAGAAAAGCAGCTCATTTCCCCTGGCCTCGCAGACACCTCGATGGCCTCCCCAAATAGCTGAGTATGAGCTTGCAGAAGCTTCGACGAGGGAGCACAGCATTGGCAGCAATTAATTTTGCAGAGAAAGCAGTCTGTTTAAAGCTGCCTGCAGTCTAAACTGGGGGTTGTTGTTCAAGGCCACCAGAGCTGCAGTGGGCTCAGGCTGGCTCATCAACAAAACAACAATGCTAAAATATGGCCTCTTGGGTTTTGCAGAAGAAGGAACTAGCGGGGCAGTGAATTATGCTCACCTGCTAGAGCTGGGTGAAGACTGTAATTGTTTAGCCCCCTAGCACTACCCTGCAAGGGTTAAAGTGACAGAGATATTAGTGTGATGGCTAAAATTGTTGGTTTGAAGCTCTCGGCTATACGCAGACTGTTATTTACCGGACTTGGTCGATTTACTTCTTAATGCAATAATGACCTGTGAAATGAAACGTGAGCTAGACAATTGTTCCTCATTGTTTCCAGTAAAACATCCTTTCATACCCCATTAAACCA